CTTGTGTTCCTGCTCTCGCTATCTCTCTCTCTCTGTCAAATAAATAAAACCTTTAAAAAAATAATAAAATAAAATAAAATATGCCACTTTCGTATAAGGATTATTTTGAGCTAAATGCAATTGGAAAGGAGATACAAGAAAAGCTACCATTCCCCTATTTGACTAAAAGCAGGAATAAATTTTCAAAGGTGTCCCTTCTTGCCTCTCCCTACCAGAAGGACAAATTTAGTCATGGGAGACTTTAGACCCTTTGTCAGCCTAGACTACACAGAGGAATCTACATAACAAACTTTACTAACTGGCCTTTATTTACCATTAGTTCCCCCATATATTTGCCTCTCCATAATTTGCTGCCTCTAAAGACTTTAGGTCCTTTTTTTTCTTCTGTAAATGCTGTTCCTTTGTTAAGATGTTATTTAAGCCCAGACTCTAGCCATCTCTTTGAGTACTCATCTCTGAGTTTCTCTTGTATATAGGACATATACATGTTAATAAATTTGTTTTTCTCTTGTTAATCTGTCTTTTGTTAACAGCGCCCCACGGAAAGCCTAGAAGGGTAGAAAGAAAAAAGATTATTTCCTTCCCTACAACCTCTGTCCAACTACTCCGTATACAGAATTGTCTGAGAGAAATTACTGACACGGAGATTTCCCCTTGAGTGCCTTCAGACACAAGGGAGGGGGGCCCAGCATTTGTCATCTGTATGCAAACGTCACAGTTGGGAGAAATGTCCTATACCTTAGAATTGCTTAACACATAAAGTATTTAAATTTTTTAGAGTACCAAGGACGCAACTTAAGGTTCACAGGATTTAAGGCAAACGATTGATTACAACTTGGTCCCTAGCTCTCTCGTTTTAACTAAAAAACAACGTTTAGCTTGTGAAAATCTCCGGAGACTGCAAAGTAGGTTTGGGGAAATCAGGGCTAAGCTGCCCTGACACAACGACCGAAGCAATCTTTTTCAACCACAAGAGAGCGCGCAGCCCGTCGGATCAAGATTTAAAAATATCCGGATTCGGCGCCCCGGAGTCTCGGGTCCCACTGGCGCATGGCATTGTGGGATTTGTAGTCCAGGGCCACATCTTGTACTACAATAAGCAGTTCAGCCAGGACTCGGAGAGGACTCGGGCTCGGAAAGGATCTGGACTGGGGCGATCGGGCGAAACGGCCGGACGTTAGCTCTCCCTTGGCTGGCGGTCCGAGGCGCGGGACGGAAGCGAGCTTCATCTCGGCGTCGGCCTCAGCAGCCGGGACGCACACGCTTTGCGTCATGGCGGGCTGAGACAGATGATGAATTCCGGTGTGCAAGTCAGGGTTGCTGTGTCACTCGGCCCGTTCGGCGCTCCCCTTCCCCGTCGCCCTTCCGCACCGGCTCTCGGGCTCTTCCGGTCTTCAGCGGCCCCTCACCTGCAGGCCCCTCGGCCGCCGCGTCCCGGCGCACCCCCGGCCTTCCCTGCGGACTGATCTCGCGCGGTGCCTGGGCCCCGGGCGCCGGAGAGACGAGGGCCATGGCGAGCGGTGCCGCCAGGTACCGGCTGAGCTGCTCCCTCCCGGGCCACGAGCTGGACGTGCGGGGCCTGGTATGCAGCCTTTATCCGCCGGGGGCCTTTGTGTCCGTGTCCAGAGACCGCACGACCCGCCTCTGGGTCCCAGACAGGTGAGCTCTGCGAGTCCGGGGGCTCCCACCACCCACCCCCGCCTGTGTTGCAAGCTTCCTACTGCTGATGGGAAGAGAGGGACTCTTCCCTGCTGTTAACCTTGCACTCTTCCCGGCCTTGACTCCAGTCCGCGCTCCCTCCCAGTTCTGAGAGTACTAGTACTCTGGGCGCACAGTGTACGAAACCTGTGAGATTCAGGTGGAAAGAGCGCCGCTTTCGGGAAACAGAGATGTACATTCTTGTCCTAACTTGACCACTGACGGATGGGTGACCTTGGACGAACCTCTTATCTTTTGGGCGATGATTTCCCATGTTTCTTTTAGATTTGAAAATTTACTGATGCTAGGTGCACCCCCCTAAATGAAACATTGTGAGACATCTCACATGTAACTGAAGTGAAGCCTCTTCTTTCTCTAGAATTTGCTCTGTAGTGTTCCCTCAAATTTAATTTTTGAGAACCTTAGTTCTCAAAAATTGCGTGGCAGAAAGTTGCATTGGCTCCTGTCCTCATTGTCCAAATGAGAGTTTCTTAGTCTGGGGTCTGTAGTGGGCCTAGATGGAGGAGTCTCCCATTAGTATAGGTTTCACTCAGAGTTTGGGTAACCATGCATAAAATCAGATGATAACTTGGTTAAGTGCCTCCTATTTGTTTACAGTCCTGAAGAAGAATAAGACAACAGACAAGTTCCCTGTTTTTATGGAGCTTTCTTATAATCTGGGAGGGAAGGCAGATCAGAAAAAAAGTAAAATAATTGTTCATAGGCATGTGTACTATGAAAAAAGCAAATATAAATATAGAATTGAGTGGAGGGATGTTAAAGAAGGAAGCCCCTCCGAGGAGGGTTTCGGTTTTGTTTTGTTTTTTAAAGATGACACCAAGATGGACCTGGTCTTGGGAGCAAGGAATGAGGAGGGATGAATTCAGAGGGCCCTGTAGACAGTAGGAGGATCAAGCACAGAGACCCTGGATTAAGAAAGTGGCAAGTCCCTTTGTGCAGGAGGGAATGAGCTGTGAGGTGAGGGCAGGAGCCAGAGGTTGGCTGGAACCAGATGCTATGGTATGAGTGCTGTGAGAAAGAGTAAGCAGAAGCCTTCAGTGAGTTTCATGCAGGGAGCAGCATGATTTGATTGACCTGTTGAGAAGTTGTGCTAGCTGCTGGTGGAGATTGGATTGCAAAGGGATAAATGTGGAAATCTGTTTGGAGGCTTTTGCTGTAGTGCAGCCAATACATGATGATAAACAGACTAGAAATATTGTAGAGCAACCTCCTATATTGAATTGGATGAGATGATCTCTAAAGGTCTCTTTTAACTCTAAGATTCTGTGATATTCCAAATCACTTAGTAACACTAATACGTAACTTTTTGTGTATTTGAGTGTAATTATTGATTAAGCTTATATCCTTGAAATTGAGTTAAGAGAAGCATATACCCCGGGCCGCCTGGGTGGCTCAGTCGTTAAGCGTCTGCCTTTGGCTCAGGTCATGATCCCAGGGTCCTGGGATCGAGGCCCACATCAGGCTCCCTCCTCGGCCGGAAGCCTGCTCCTCTCTCTCCCACTCCCCCTGCTTGTGTTCCTGCTCTCGCTGTCTCTCTCTGTCAAATAAATAAATTAAATCTTTAAAAAAAAAAAAAAGAGAGAAGTATATACCCAGTAGGGTATAAATATTGCAGTAAGGAGTATCTAAAGGATGCCTGCTGTTATAGTTGAGTCCTGTCATTAAACTTCACACATTTTGTAGGACTCTGCTAGATTGACAAGAGCTTAACTCACTGGAGCATTTGCATTTTTCAGGAACTTCAGGAATTTGAGGCTGAAATCATCTATTTGAAAAGTGGAGTGTTTTTTTTTTTTAACTCATGTTTTTGATTTTGTTTTCAAAACCATCCGTGAATTTATTCAGCTAACGCTGATGGAGAGCCACCATTGTGCCAGGCACAGGAGTAGGTAGTGGGTGATTAGTGAGATAAGATTGTTTTATCTCTCATTTCCAACTACTCAGAGTAGGGCATCTCATAGTCACTGGGTGATGAGTCTTTTCTACATCCATATAAAAAGTGTCCTCAAGGCTGACATCCTGACAATTTCTATTTCATGGTATGTTAATGAAGTGCTATAAGAGTTTGCGGCCAAATAATAAATGAAAATTGTTTTCCCATGTACATTGTTGATAGAGTTCTGAATCAGGGTAGTTAGTGTACAATTGGATTGGGAATGATGGGGGAATTTAATTTAGTTTTAGGGAAGCAAAATAATTCTATTCCAGGATGCACTAAACTAGATACTGTGTCTTTTGCAAAAGCCCACTGAAAATCCAGAAACTCTCTGGGTCTTCAGAAGACGCTTCAGAATGGAGACATTATTTTTTGGTTGTACATTGAACTGAACCAGTCAACATGCCATTGTTTCAGACTGCTTCAGGCCTCTCTTATTATAAGCCCACTTCAAATTAAACTGGATTTCTCAAGTCTGTTACCAACTATTGTGTGCCTTTTGAAAACTACCCATATTTGAGGGGCACCTGGATGGCTCAGATGGTTAAGCATCTGCCTTTGGCTCAGGTCATGATAGCCCCACATCAGGCTCCCTGCTCAGCGGGGAGCCCACTTCTCCCTCTCCCTCTACTGTTCCCCCTGCTTGTGCTCTCTCGCTCTGTCAAATAAATAAAATCTTTAAAAAAAGAAAGAAAGAAAACTACCCATATTTGAAAGATGCAACTTCAGATTTAAGGTTGTGTTTTAAATCTTCCCTGACCATACTGAGGTTGAAATGACTTCTTCTTCATGTAAACACTCAGCATTTTGGGTCCTAAGTCCAGTGGTTCCATGGGGTTTGTTGAGAAATAGGAACCATTCTCTTCCCAACCCCCAGTTTCCTTTTCTTGGAGGAAAATTTTTATCTCTTTTAACTGCTTATTTTTTGTATTTTACTTCCACATCTATGCATAAAGTGCTTTATTGCTATTTTTATTTTTAAAATATTTTAGGCATTTTCTATTCCTACTACGGAGTATTAGACTTTAGCTCTCTTTCTACGCCCTTCTAACCCCCATCACATATGCATCTTTTCTATGCTCTGACCCTAATAGTTTACCTTAATTTAGACAAAATCAGTATTTTATGACTGCATAAAGTCTATTTACACTGGAGCTGTGGAATAAACTATGATAATTTTTCCTCAACCATTTTATGATCTCTCTGTAGCTAGTAAGTGCCCTGCTTTGGGTTTTCATTTGCTTCATTTTCTATGCATTTGTCACTAATTCAACTTCATATTCTTTGCTAGTTGTCTAAATCTCTTCTCAAGACCTTTAGACACCCTGGATATTTTGTAGTTTCATCTTCCTGGCAATGAAACTTTCTGACCTTGGTCTGTCTACCCCTGGTGCACAACAAATCCTGAAATCTCCCTTCATTGTGCTCTCCATAGTTCCCTCTTTTGGGCTTCTTGTATTGGATTTCTGTTATCTGTATCCTTTTACTTTCTTAGTTTTCTTTCTTGATGCTTTATTGGGGCATATTCTTCAGGAGCTTCCAGAAATACAGTGCACTGATAATAAATGTATTAAGACCTTGCAGGTCTAAGAATGATTTTATTCTGTCTTCCTACTTGAATAATAATTTAAATGTTTGTACTGTTCTAATTCCCAAATAATTTTCCTTCAGAATTAAGGAGCCATTGCTCCATTGTATTCTAGCCTCTAGTGTTATATTTGAGTAGTCTGAAGCCAATCTGATTCTTGAGCTATTATTTTTTTTTCTCTCTGGAAAGCAGCGTATATTCATGCATTGTTCAGGGCCATTAGTGGGCCCTTTAATGTGAAAACTCATGTCTGTAAGTTCTGGGACATTTTCTTAAATCAGTTCTTAGATTTCTTCCTCTTGATTTTCTCTGTCCTATTTTTCGGAACTTTTAATTCAGATATTGAACTTGTTTCTGAATTCTCTCTCTCTCTACTGTATTATTTCAGAAATTGCCTTGACTTTTTGTGAAATTATCTTCTTGTTCCATGGTTGCAATATCTTCTAGCTCTAAGAATAATAGTGATGATTTTTTTTTTTAAGTTATTCTTAGTGTTCTGTTTCCTTCAAATTGGTTTTTTCCCCATGCCTGTTTATTTTGATCACTATATTTCATGGTGGAGAGAGCTTTCCCAGATGTCTGGTAATCCTTATTTTGTGCTCATTGTTAAGAGTGGAGCACTAAAAAGCTCCTGGGAGGGTCTGCTCACAGTTGGGGCTTGCTGGCTGGGTTATCTGGCTGGACCATTTCACTGGACTGATCTCCTGCCTGGAGGATCATTGCCCTTGTGAATGTACACTTTCCTCATACCCCAAGACTCAACTATGCCTTGTGTCCTTATAGTCAAAGATTTTCAGCTTTTCTAAAGAAGAAAAGTTCAGACTTTTCCTCGGTGCAAGAAGGGCAGTTGTCTGGCTGGGGTATGTAGCTGCCTTTTTTTTCTTTTTTTCCCCCCTTAACACTGGTATTAAGTATTTTTTTCATCAGTTCAAGAAATATTTAATGCTGGGGCGCTTGGGTGGCTCAGTCGTTAAGCGTCTGCCTTCAGCTCAGGTCATGATCCCAAGGTCCTGGAATCGAGCCCCGCATCGGGCTCCCTCCTCCACAAGAGGCCTGCTTCTCCCTCTCCCACTCCCCCTGCTTGTGTTCCCTCTCTCGCTATCTCTCTCTCTGTCAAATTAATAAATAAAATCTTAAAAAAAAGAAATATTTAATGCTTACCAAATATAACATTGTGTTAGGAACTTGGGGAGATATAAAGAAGACTAGATCTGGATTTTGCCTTTCAGAGCTTCATAGATGACTAAAAAAGATGCACATAAACATCTATACTGGGGAGTGCTAAGAGTCACAAGTAAGTAGATTTAGTGGTTTATATAAAATAGATTTTTAAACATGTCCTATCTTTTGGATTTCTTTAGGCCTGTTGATAAAATGCTTTCTAACATTTTAAAAAAATAAAGTGGATAAGTTAAAAATAGCTACTACCAAATAACTTCCTTTGAAGATTTTTTTCTTATGATTCAGCTTCCAACTGATTCTGAAGATTTTCAGTAGTCTTTTTGTCCCTATTTCTAGATTGTGCTGCTAATATTCTTGAGCTTTTTGGGGATTCATTGGTAGATTGGTCCTCTACTTTGTCTAATGCCTGCTTAGAACTCAATTTTCTCAGGTCTCCTATAGCCTTTATTATTTTTCAACCCAGCTTTCAGTATTCAAAGCTGTATTCCTGTTTCTTTTTCTTCTCATTCCCCCTGGCCTTGTGAGTTTATGCTTTTCTTTGAAATGTGTGTGTATTTGTGTTTATCTGGGAGTCTTTTATATGTAGTTGTCTTGTTCCCTTCCACTACACTGTAAACTTTTTGATTTAGCTTGAGTCAGGGATATAATTCTTTATATTACTCTTAGCAGCTAACTTACTGCCTTCCACATAGTATATTGTAATCTGTTGTTTGACTTGTTAGGTAAGGCATTGATGCTGAGTGACTGATGAATAAAACAAATTGATAATCTCTCTTCCTCCCTCCCTCCCTCCCTCCCTTCCTTCCTTTCTTCCTTTTTTTTAAAAAGATTTTATTTATTTATTTATTTATTTATTTATTTATTTATTTATTAAAGAGGGAGAAAGAGAGACAGCACAGCAGGGGGAGTGGCAGGCGGGGCAGGCAGAGGGAGAAGCAGGCTCCCTGCCAAGCAAGGAGCCCGATGCGGGACTTGATCCCAGGACCCTGGGATCATGACCTGAGCCGAAGGCAGACACTTAACTGACTGAGCCACCCACGCGTCCCCCTTCCTTCCTTTCAAGTAGGCTCCATGCCCAGCGTGAACTTGAACTCATGACGCTGAGATCAAGACCTGAGCTGAGATCTAGAGTAGGACTCTTAACCAACTGAGCCACCCAGGCGCCCCAGAAGTTGATAATCTTTCTAATCCTAAAATAGGTATTAATACCCTAGAGCAGTCATTTTTTATATCCCTATATTCCCGTAGTTTGCATATTGAAAATGATTGATAGTCTAGCTATTTTATACATACTACACTAATGGGTACTAAGTTAACGTTTCATAGTGTGAAAATATCCGCAATGTGTTTAAGGCTTATTGATTGTAGATTCCATTATCCTAATTGCATGAACGTTTCACTTCACTAGGGATTTCTGAGGGTAACAGTCATGGATGAATGGAAATAAAGGTGGAATATGAGAAAAAGCCACTTATGATACTCGTTTCCCTCCCTTTCCTTCCTTATTCTTTCTGTTAATTAACATACTTTTCTCAATGAAAGAAAAGAAAACAAGTACTTTGACAATTCATCTCATGTCCTATGCTAAATCAGGGGACGAATGTATATCTTATTAATTACCATGTCTTTCTAGTCCTAACAGGGGCTTTACAGAAATGCACTGTATGAGTGGCCACTCCAATTTTGTATCTTGTGTATGCATAATACCTTCAAGTGACATGTACCCTCATGGACTAATTGCCACTGGAGGAAATGACCACAATATTTGCATTTTCTCACTGGAAAGTCCAGCACCACTTTATATACTGAAAGGTCATAAGAATACTGGTGAGTATAATGCTTTGGTTTTTTTCTATTTGAAGAAGTTTCATCCTGTTGAAAGTAAAATACATATATGCATTCCATACTATTTATTATGTTTGTTTTACCTGTGGATATGGCTTGGTAGTGAAAACCTTTTTGGATCATCATCATTCTGTAAATTCTTTGTTACAGATTTATTGTTGTCATCAGTAAAGGTTGACATGCTTATATATGTAAAAAATAAAGTGTTTAGTTGTAAAAGGAAGAAGCTATATAATTTTAATATACTTTGTGGTTTTGGTTTTTCAACTATTTTGTGCAAGGAATTAATATGCTCAGGAAGACTAAAAGTATATCTTTATCTTTTGGTTGTTATATCTGTATTTATGCAGCAAATTGAAGACCGAGAACAAATGTGTTTAGGGCCTTGGTATCATAACTGAAGAGTATTTAATACTTTTGAATATTGTTTTCTGTGATTTGTGTATATTTCTGATTGTCTCATGTTCCTGGATTTGTGTGTGGCTTAACAGCTCTTTGTTATAAAACAATATGCTTATTAATCAGTGCAGTATGTGTACTTATTTTGTGTAACAAATATGATCTGTAAGCAAGTAGGATGGCCCATCAACACTTTAAACTTAATTCCCTTAAAAAATTTTTAAGATGTTTTGTGTGTGTATATGTGAAATCTTTAATACAGAGTGATACAGACTTTTTAAACTTTATTAAGGAAGTCTTGAAATGTATGTAAGAATAGAAACACATTTTATAACGAGTTATATGTAAAAGAGAATAATGCTCTTTTCCACCCGTGTATTTACATAGTGTTATATGTATTGTCAACACATGGCCTATCTTGTTTTCATCTACCCCCTCTTCCACAACATTATTTTAAAGGAAATTTCCAATATACTATTTCATTTGTAAATACTTTAATGTGTAGCTCTAAAATAGGGTTTGGAAAACTTTTTCTGTAAAGGGCCAGGTAGTAAATATTTTAGACTTTGCAGGCCATATGGTCACTTTTACAACTTTTCAACTCTGCCATTGTGTACAAAAGCAGCCATTGACAATAAATAAATGAATGAGCATGTCTGTATTTCAATAAACCTCTGTTTATGGACACTGAAATTTGAATGTCATGATTTTCACGTATCAGGAAATATCTTTCAATTTTTTTCTCTCAATCACTTAAAAATGTAAAAACCATTCCTAGTTTGTACACTGTACAAAAACAGGTGCTCCACAGGCATAGTTTGTTGATCCATCTAAAAGATACAAATTACCTTTTTTCAAAGTAATCATTATGCCTAAAATGAAACCTAATTTCTTATTATCAAGTATCCCGTGAAGGCTCAAATTACACTCAGTTGTCTCATAAAAGTTTTTTTTACAGTGTGTTTGAACTGTGACCCAACTAAGGTCCACATGTCTTTTAATCTATGGGTTTCTTTCCCCTTTTTGCCCCTCTGTGTTTGAAACCAGCTTATTTATCCTGTAGGATTTCCTACAATCTGAACTTTGCTTATTAAAGCCTTATTGTTTCCTTTTACATGTTCCTCAATCCCCTGTGTGTCTTATAAGCTATTAGATCTAGAAGCTTAATCAGATTCAGATTCAAGTTCTTGGCAAATACACATTATAGGTAGTATTGTGCACTTTCTGTTGTAGCACATTAAGAGGCACTTAATATCTCTGTGATGTTAAGATTAATTAGTAGGTTCAAGTGTTGTATCATTCATTCATTTTAAATTCCCATCAGTCTTTTATGTAATGGTTTTTAGCATGTATTTTTTTTTTTTTTAAAGATTTTATTTATTTGAGACAGAGAGAATGAGAGACAGAGAGCATGAGAGCGAGGAGGGTCAGAGGGAGAAGCAGACTCCCTGCCGAGCAGGGAGCCCGATGCAGGACTCGATCCTGGGACTCCAGGATCATGACCTGAGCCGAAGGCAGTCGCTTAACCAACTGAGCCACCCAGGCGCCCGGTTTTTAGCATGTATTGATGATCACACACAGATCTAGTATTTCATTAAAATTTGCAAGATCATTGTACTTTAATTCTACCATTATTTTTGCATTTAATAGCTAGCATTTTTTTAATATAGAATTTTCTCATATCAATTCTTTGGTTACATGGGAGACTTATACAGGGAAGGCCGGATAAATGCTCTTTTACTGAGTTTCAGAATGAGTAGGTTTCCTAACATCTTTTTTTTTTTTCTTTTTCATTCTCAAATTGTCCCATATTTGGCCTTTGGATACCTCTTTAGATTGGCCCCTGTGGGCTTTTGATAAGACCTTTAGCAGTCTTCCTTGCTTTTGGTACTACAGAATGTTCCAGGTTCACTTTATGCATTTATGCTTCTAGACCTGAAATCAGCTGTTACGCCAAGAAGCCCTGTGGTTTTTGCTTTTGTTTTTTCAGTTGGCAGTAATAACTAGAAACCTCAGTTTGGGCTGGAATGCTGCTCAACAGGAGTTTTTTAAACCTAATCTTGTTTTATAATTCTATAAAACATATATAGTTTCAAAGGAAAAACAACAAAGTATATTCAAGGAAGTCTAGATTTAGTCTGTATTGCCTTCTTGCACTATTCCTTTCCTTATATTTTTTAACTTTGTTAGCAGATATATATGTATATTTATATTGTCCCTTTATATGTAAAAGATAGATAACATACTATATGAAATTTTCTGCCCTTCCTCTTTTTGCTTGATAATATTACCACCTTGGAGATCTCTTTATTATACTATATAGAAATCTTCTTCATTCGTTTTTACAGTGGCATTTTTATTCACTGTTTAGCTAGCTGTACTGTGGTGATTCTAGCTTATTCAACCAGTCCCCTATTGATGGACATCTGAGTTTTCAATCTTTTGCTAGTACAGTTAGTGCCATGATCAGTCGCTCTGTATATATGTCATTTCCTTCTTTTGGAAGTGTCACATAGGTATAATATCCATTTCTGGATCAAAAGGTAAGTGCACATGTAGTTTTGTTAGGTATTGCAGAATCCCTTCGTTAGATGTTGTAACTTTTTTTGCATTTCCAGCAACATCATATGAGTCCCTATTTCCCTTACTGATAGAGTATGTTGTCAGATTTTTGGATTGTTGCCAAAATGATAAGTGAAAAGTGAAATTTGCATCTCTCTGTTCATGGAGGGGGGCATCTTCATATATGGAAGGGATTTTTACCCTTCTTTTTCCTGTGAACTATATTAAAAACTCTTGCCCATTTAATACAGGGTTACTGACCGTATTTGAAGCCCTTAATTAGAGTTATTAAGCCTTTGATACAATTACAAATTTTTTCCCAGTTTGTTATCTTTTTTACCCTGCACATTTTTTGTAATGCAAAAGTCAATTTTTATGTAATCATTTTGTCTTGATCTTTTAAAGTATTATAAGATCTCATAGAAATCTCTACAATAAAAAATACTGCTTCAGTTTTGTAGGGTATTTTTTCCTGCCTGATTTATTTCTGCTTTATCATAAGGTAATCTTTTGTTATTTTGTTAATTTGCTTGATGGTTTAGAAGCCAAATGTTACTTGCTTTTTTTTTTTCCTTTTTTGACACCCCATAGCATGCTAGTGAGTATAGCTGAAGAAATTAATGATTGACATTCTTATGTCATTTTTTGGTCAGTTTTCTAGCCCAAATTTTATTTTCTAAATAGTAAAGTAGTACTAACCTTTAGTTGATATTATATGTATAACACTTCCCAGTTACATTATAAGTTGTGATTCTAAGTAATACGTTGCATTATATGATATCTTAAGGCTTTTCTCCCCTACCTATTCAAAGCTGAATGCTCCCTATATTTATTGAAAGAGATTTATCTTGTTATTCGTTCTTTCTGCCTGATCTTGAAAGAAATTTTAAGAAACTTTCTGAGCTCTCTAATGTTTCTCTTGAATTACATGTTACATTGATCTTGGAGAGAATATAAAGAACATTCCCGATTACAGCTATCAAGATCGGTAGCTAATTCTTCTTATGAAAGAACCTCCTGTTCCCACAGATTTAAAAACTGAAACTTATTTTGTAAATTCAGCTTGATTCACTATTATCCATTAGGAAATATATGGTATAAGTTTTTGGAAGTAAATTATTATTATCTGAGAAATAAGTTTATCCAAAAGAAAAAAGTTTTTAAAAATTAACCATTTCCTGGTAACTTATGGTTTTCTGTTTTTAGACTGGTTCATGAATAATGTATTAATATAAAATAAAATGGTTAAATTTACTACTCTTCTGGACATTTGAGTTTAAAGAACAACTGATGATGCATAAGCTTTTAAGTTGATTTTTTAAAAATTTTTAATTACTTAAAAAGCAACTTTTCACATAAATGGAAAATTTTACTTTGATTTCAATATTCAAATACAGTAATCATTTTTATGGGTACAGTAATTTGTTTCGGTCTTTGTCCCTATGACTAAGCATGGGTGATACTTTACAGACACACAGAAGATATTTTCTGTTCCAATAACCAGGTCTATTTCCTGACTAATTTATTTTTCATTTTAAAGATTAAAATCATTTCATTTCTCTGAACTTTAGTTTCCTCATCTGTTAAATGGGAATGATAGCACTTAGTTCCTGGGGTTCTTGTGGAATGTAATGTACTTTTATGGTGTCTGGCACATGGTAAGGACTCTATATCTTTTAGTATCACTAAGCAAAGGTTAGCCCAACACCAGCACCTGTTTACAACTTCATATTTTACATACAAATACTATTTTCCTTTTGTCCTACTTGCTTTACTACTTGTTTTTAATTTTATTATATTGTATATGTTTATGAAAGTCATTTAAAATTTTTCTGGAGCAGAGTAGATGATAAAATTTGGGGAATGTCTATTTAAATGTAATCAATGCATATATAGTTCCTAAATTATATTCCTATCCAGGTAAATTGTTTTTTCCTAAAGATAGTGACCCCTTTTTTTCATTTCCGTGTTTTTCTGTATAACTGTAACTGATATTTTACAAGGGTTGCAGGAAGTTTCCTAAATGCCTATAACATGTTTCAAATAGTCTAACACATAATGAGTCAGAATAGGCTAAGATACGGTATAGTAACAAACACTTCCCTGATCTCAGTGTCATCACACAAGAGTATTTCTCACTCACCGTACATATTCATCATGGATTAAGGAGGGGAATCTGCTCTTGGAGCTTCTCAGGGACCCAGGCTGGTGGGGGCTTTCTCTTTCTATGTGCTTCAGGAGTTTGGTGTAGCAGTGAAAGGGCAATGTGATTAATAATGCATTGACTCTTAAAAGCATATACCTGAAAGTGTCAGCCACCATTCATACTGTTAACTAATGTGTGCATCATTGGCTGTGCCTGACATCATGCACAGAAAGGGCAGGGCACCACAGTCTGCCTCTGGTTATCAGTTATTCAGCTTGCTCTCGCTTGTGTAGGCAGAACATACCCACCTCTTTCTCAGTGTCAGACAACAGCCCTGGATTCCCCTTTGCCAATATATTTCCTAGAAAAAATTCTCATATTTTTGTCATTTTTAACTTAACTTTTGTAGCTTCTTAAGAAAGCTGTGACAGAGGGGCTAAATATATTTGTATATTACAAAATGGCTTTATTCTATCCTTACATTTGGTTGTTAATTTTGCTAGATGTAAAATCCTGTGTTAAAACCATTTAATCTTAGAATTTTGAAGGCATTGCTCTATTGGCCTTTAGTGTATGGTGTTAAATGAAAAGTTTGATGCTGTTCTGATTTCCCATCTTCTCTGTGAGACACACTTCTAGTCCCCTTGTAAGCTTTTAGGATCGTCTGTATTTCTGATGTTATAGATTTTCACAGTGCATTTCTGTCTCTGAAAGTGCCTTTCATTTGGCACCTTTGTGGGGTCATTGAATCTAGACATTCATGTCCGTCACTTTTGAGAATCTTTCTTGTATTACTTCTTTGTCCTCTCTGCTCTGTCCTCTGTTATCTCTTTCTGGAATCCCTATCGTTGGATATTGAACATTCTGAAATTATTTTCTGACTTTTTAAACTTTTTCTTTTTTTGTGTCTTTGTCTTTTTAGTCTAATTCTCTGGAGAGACTTTTTTTTTTCTAGAGCCATTTAGTTTTGGTTTGGTTCTTCTACTTTTAGCTTTTATTTTTCTTGTTCTGTCACTAGTTTTTCTTATATAATGTCTTACCTATTTGCAAATATTATAGTATTCGTTTTTTGTTGTTTTTTATGTGTTCTTACTTCCTTTTTTTTTTTTTTAAGATTTATTTATTAGAGAGGGAGTGCAGGGGAGGAGGGAGTTGCAGGTGGAGAGAGTCTTAAGCAGACTCTACACTGAGTGCGGGGCTTGATCTCATGACCCCAATATCACGACCTGAGCCAAAACCAAGAGTCGGATGCTTTGACTAACTGCGCCACCCAGGCGCGCACTTTTTTTTTTTCTTCCTGAAGTTGGATTTGTCTCTTTTGGATTGCCCAGCCCTTTCCCCCTTATTTTTGTGTTTCTTTGTTTGGATTTTTCTCTTTCATGTTGGACAGTTTAATTAAATGGTTGTTGATATTAAATTGGCTGCTCATATTTAAGAATAAGGTATAAAGAAGTAAACTGAAAACTTTTTAGCTTGTATAGATAGAGCTTGGTGATTAGTGGGCTTCATTAGAAGGCAAACTGGTGGTGGTCTGACCTTTAGGTTGGGATACCCTCTCACATGTCCTTATCTGAAGTTCTTTAGCATTATTCAGTCTTCCAGAGCAGAATTCTCCTGTCTCTTGCCTGGGTGGAGGGGAATATGTGCCTGGTTGCTGGTACTGTGGAAGAAGGGGATGTAGATTTTCCATTTATTTCCCTTGTGCTTCATGGGGCTTCTTATTCCAGACCTTTATTTTGCTCAGTTACCTGAATGTGCAAACTGTGCTTCAGTTCCTCCAGAGAATAAACCTCCAGTTTCCTGCAGTGGGGGAGGATGTGCTTTCCTGACACTGTAGGCTGAAAAGAGAGATCTAGCATTTCAAGTCCTCTGCTTAGCACCATTCTCCTTCGAACCTAGTAGCTGTTTATTGAGTCTCATGAGAGTTCCCTGGGGGGAGTCACTCGTTTCTAATCTCTCTCTGTGGGTGTTTAAATTATAATCTCCTCCATTTTGTTAAATCTGTTGTGTTCTGTTTTCTTTGTCCTTGTAAATTAATAACACTGATAGCTTTACTGTGAACAATCTGCCAAATTTTTTTGAAAGATTTATTTATCTGAGAGAGAGAGCGAGCAAGCGAGCTAGCAAGCGAATGACTGGGGGGAGGGGCAGAGGGAGAGAATCTCCAGCAGACTCCCCACTGAGTGTGGAGCTTGACACAGGGCCTAATCCCAGGACCCTGAGATCATGACTTGAGCCGAAATAGAGTCAGATGCTCAACCGACTGAGCAACCCAGGCGCCCCAACAATCTGCCGTTTTTAATCAGAACTCTTTTTTGTTTGTTTTTTTTTTAGATAATTTTTCACGTTTAATTTTTAGCTTGTATAATTTTGTTAAGATAATAAGACATTTAATTACCTGTTTCCATTGCTGTTGAATATTTAGCTGCGCTCCAGTGTTTTGTTTTTTTGTCATTTTAATTTAATATTTTTATAAACAGCATTTCAAAATCATTTGCATTATCTTTCTATGTAGTTTTTTTTTTTTTTTAAGATTTTATTTATTTATTTGAGACAGAGAGAATGAGAGAGAGAGAGCACATGAGAGGGGGGAGGGTCAGAGGCAGAAGCAGGCTCCCTGCCGAGCAGGGAGCCCGATGCGGGACTCGATCCAGGGACTCCAGGATCATGACCTGAGCCGAAGGCAGTCGCTTAACCAACTGAGCCACCCAGGCGCCCGCTATGTAGTTTTTTGTAACCAGAAGGCATTGTGCAACCCATTTGATCCTGCTCTTTCATTTTGCAGATGAGGAATCGGAGGTTATCCCTTGGTCAGACAGTCCGTAAATAGCACAGCTAGGACTTGCGTCCAGACATTCTGGCCCAGAGTCGGCTCTTGATCACTGCACTCTTCTTCATCTCCATTGAGTTAAGCCTTAACTGACCACATTACTCTCAGTTCAAAAAGTGTTTTTAAAATTGCAGTGCTTTGGGGGTGCCTGGGTGGCAGCGTCGGTTAAGCGTCTGACTCTTGGTTTAGGCTCAGGTCGTGGTTTCAGGGTCGTGAGATTGAGCCCTGCATTGGGCTCCATGCTCAGTGTGGAGTCTGCTTAAGATTCTCTCTCTCAAATAAGTAAATAAATCTTTTTAAAAAATTAAAAAATAAAATTGCAATGCTCTAATAACTAGCAAGGTTGAACATTTTTCTATATGACATTGTATTAACTAATGCCTTTTCCCCCTTTAGTTTGTAGTCTTTCATCTGGAAAATTTGGGACATTACTTAGTGGCTCCTGGGACACCACTGCAAAAGTCTGGCTGAATGACAAGTGCATGATGACCTTACAGGTACTGCAGTAGTTCTGTATGAATGTCCTACATAGTAATTAAATGTGATGATTTCTATGGCAACTTGGGTTAATTCCCATTTCACTCACAGGGTCATACAGCTGCAGTATGGGCAGTAAAGATCTTACCTGAGCAGGGCTTAATGTTAACTGGATCAGCAGACAAGACTATTAAACTGTGGAAAGCTGGGAGGTGTGAGAGGACCTTTTCAGGTAAGATCAGAGTAGACAACATTTTAGTCTCATCACTTCATATTCACTCCAATGGTGTTTTCTCAAAAGCTTAGAAGCTTGAAAATGGTATTTGAAAAACATCAGTGTATTTGAACCATTTAATTTGGGTAATGTAACTTAGTTCTGACAACTAATATTTAAAATCTTTTAAAAGATATAATGAAACCTCTCATAAAACAACTAGATGTGGACTATTCAGTGGCTACTTGATGAGCTTATAATATGGTATGCAATTTGTTCTTGGTTTAACAAGTTCAGCGTGAAACTTTCAAGCATAAGCCTTATTGATGGGTCACTGCTGTTAATTTCATATATAGAGGAAGACATCATTAGTTCTTCTGTGAATACTGAAGTACATTATTTAGTAATAACAAATTTCAGGCTTATGTTGGGATTTTAGATGGGTAGTCTTTTTGAACCTCACCTATTAAATAACTCCTGCACTGAGGCATCTGCTGACTGATACTGGTATTGCTGATTTATTTGTGGAGCACTTAAATTTTTGGTGTGAATTTTTTTGAGTTGTTTTTCCTCTCTTTTATTTATTTTATCCTTCAAAGTTGATCACTAGTCTGGATAATACTTCAAGAAGTCCCTTTGTGCAGATAAAACTATCTATAGATGGACAAATTATAACTAAGCATCACTGTGTTCCTGCTTCCATACATATATGTTATCAAATTGTTATTAATCTTCAGCAGCTAATCTAAAGCAGCAAATACTGAACATGGAAAGTTTTTTTGATTCCTGATCTCCTTTACTAGGTCATCAGCTTCAGAAAATGTTCTGTCCTTAAAAAAAAAAAAAAAAAA